AACGAGACGGGTAATACAAAACATTTGGAATAGAGCATTGTATTTGTATAGGTAATAATTTACATGAGAAGACCACCATAGGACAGTAAGGTGTTTTTTTAAACACTGATTCTATAGCACTGTGTTTGAAGCTAAGCTAAATATTAAACCTAACCACATTATTTCCTTCAGTTTGCTCTTCTTAAAAAGAAGCATAAAAAGCTCAGAGAGAGGCAACAGCAATAATGGAAGTAATGAAACTGGTTCTATGTTAGTTACCTACCAAATCATTGATGGGAAGGGGGATGAATAACAAACAGCAGTGTGCTATGTCTTCCAAAGGAAGAACAGGGAACATGAAATGCATTGGTGTGTCTATGATGAGCAGCACTGGGAACATACTGAATTTATATATGAAGTTATACAGCACAAAGCAGACCTGTGAGTGGTCTTGCTGAAGGATATGGTGAATCTGAAAGCTAACATGGGCTCCAGAGAAGTTCAAGAAGGAGAAATGCACTGTGACTTATGACTTACTAAACAAGTAAAACCTACATCCACCTCAGCAAGTCCCAAGTCATAATGTCAGGAAGTATACGCACTTGCCTTGCTCTCATTCTTTCCAAGGAGCTTCCTTATGGCTGCTGTTGAAGAGGTGGGTTAGATGGACCTTTGGTCTGACCCAGTACAGCAACGTCAGTATTATGTTTAGTATGTCCTTTGAGGACTTCTCCCTTGGACATACTTAAAATCCAGGTAGACGTGGTGCTGGCTGTGGACTGGAGGACCTCCAGAGGTCCCTTCCAACCTCAACAATTCCACAACGCTGTTAGGTGGCTGTTACCTCCCCAAACTCCATTCACTATAGAACCTTCTCCAGAAGGAAACCCGGCCTGCCTGAGGAAAGGCCAAAATCTATGTTCATCTCAGGAAACGAAGGTCACAGAGCAGCCTACTGTCAATCTGTCAGCTCGTCTTAGCTGACTTGCATTCAGGTGAGTGGGAAGCATGTATTTCCAACTTCAGCTGGAAGGCACTTTATGACTCTACAGCCCTTCTGTGTGGCTGCCAATCTTAAATTTCATGGTATAGTTGGAAGTCTCCTTAAGAACAAGCAGAACTCATGATTAGCACAACTGGTGTTACCTGAAAAGTCATGTTCTGTTTGACTTGACCAGGCAGAAAATTAAAATGTTCACTAGATTATATTTTCCACCTATTAATGTGGTCATAATAGAACACTGGAATACATTATAAAGACTGCTTTCCAGTTTAACCTTGACAAAAATTCACCAAATGAAAAACAGTATCTATTAAAAACCAATATATATTTCACTTTATTTCCCTATCAAGCATAGTGGTCAGGCAGTGAAGACAGCTGTATGGCGTTCTGATAACAACCTTATCATCCTTGCCCCAGCCTTCAAGAGAATTGAGGGATCATTACAATCTTTCACTGCAATCTGTAAGACTCAAGTACGAGTCAAGAAAATTCATTTTTTCTTTGTTTCAGGGGTATTTTTTGTTGTTTTCGTTAAATCTGACATAGTGACGGAGATGAGGGTGCCCATTTCCTTCCCTTTTAAATACGTGACTTTCTTCTTCCCTTAACTAAAACACGTCTTTGCAAGGAAGGCCCCAGGAAGAGCTTTATTTGGACAAGAATGGGACTGCTTTATCAAAGGGAGGGAAGATTGAAACACGTGAGACAGAACGAGGAAAAATGTGGAAAAAAATAGCCCAGCAAGTCTTACTTCCTACAGAGAAGTGCGGTCCTGTAGCATGTGCAGTTTCGAAGGGTCTAAGCAGTGAGCTTTATACAGAAAGCACACACATTTGACAGCTATTGTAAACACCCTCCAGCCACAGTAAAACACATCTGTTTTCAGCTGTGCAGAGGAAGAGCTCGTGTTTACTATGGTGGTGACCCTTCCCTGTGTAAAACTTATTGACACCCGCTGGACGTGTTCATTGCTCGATCCGTGCCCTTCATTTGGAGCCAGTAATGCTCCTCAAGTTGGAGCTTTCCAAATATAGCCCTGACAGCCTAGTTCTGAGAGCCCTGGGGAAGAGGCTTGACTACTTTGCTAATTGATGCTGCTACACCAGGGAGAGCCAGCACTGTCTACAGCAGAGTTTTCCCTTAAAGTGGACTAGGTCAGTTGGATGGTAATGGCACGAAGTCAGACAGTAGTTCTCATTACCAGACCCTAAATTATTACACGCCCACAACAGCATTATTACAAAGGGAAAACTAAGTGCTCATATTTTGCGGGAGACCAGCACTGAAACTGCATGTGTGAATTTAATGTCTTGCATAGTTTCAAGCTACTTGGAGCTAGCTGATAATCTAGTTTGGCTTCTTGAGTAACACGATGTGTATTTCCCTCAAGTAGGGGACAGAACAAACTGTGCTCAAGAACCTGTACTTTTATTAACACTATGGCTAGCATTTTGATAATGCATACGAATCAGAAAGGATCCAGTCTCCTTTTGATGGCCTCAAAGAGATGCAGAATTTACCACTTGCTACACCGTGGCTTCAATTACCTAAACCCAGCCTAAGTTCTCCACGGGGACACCGTCTCACTCAGTACACAAGACAAATTCACTTAGCTAGGAGCTACTCAATATTTTATTTTTGCCCTTTCTATTTGATGCATAGCCATAAAAGCCTTGTTTACTGCACATGATTCAAGCTCTATTCTGAAGGCAGAATGATTAATTTCTTTACAGGCTTTTCTGTAGTGCTCATCAGATGCTTTGAACTTGCTCTGTGCAATTTCCTAGCTTTTGGAAAAGCACAGAAAGGAATGCCATTATGTGGCATCCTAGAGCTACTGCCATGCTTCACATCAGCAGGGATAGACCAGACCTTTGCTATCTTAGCTAGCAGGTGTAAACCATTGCCTGCATGCAGAGCCAAGCTAAAGGAGATGAGGCACACACTTAAGCAAGTGATTTTCACTGATATTTGCCTGCACCAGAATGGAAAGATTCGGGATTTTAAGGAGATCAAAGGCTATGCAGTAGAAGTACTCTCACAGGTTCATGTTTCTATGTGCCTCTCATAACACCAACCCCTTCTAATCCATCCTTTCCAACATGCCCACCCTTCTAACCATACATCTCTGTCTCATTTATTAACCCAGTCTCACTCTTCTCGCCAGTCCAGCCATAAACAGTGTTATTACCTCATTGTATCTAATTTGCTATCTTTGTTTCTATTATTCTCTTTTGAGTACATTTTTTCATTTACTTGCTCACAGAATCAGTTGCTGTCCCCTGAACTCCTCATCTCACTGACTTCTCTGCCTCTTCCTTGATTTTACTCCCTGAAGCTTACAGGGGATTGAGGGGAAGGAGCATTCACAGACTCTTTAGAGGTTTCAGAAATACATATCTAATAAGCATATACAGAATGTGGTTCTTGAGACTGTAACTTGGGCAACCTCAGGGATTTTCTTATGGATGGTAAAAAGCACATTAATATGTTATAAAAACCACTCACTCCTGACAAAACCTGGGGACATTAAAGCACTATAAAGAAGGTGTCACCGAAACCTCTAAAGTATTTTCTCTAGCCTCATTTTCAGAAACAGTTAAGCCATGTTGGGTGACATTTTCCAAAGTAAACTGGGCCAGAGCAGATGTGCATCTCAGAAAATGTTATTCCAAATGACTACAGTTTCAGAAAATTGCAAGCAAGTGAAATGGGAAGACACAGTATGTGGCTTTGCACATAAAATAAGACAAAAATGAAAGCTATTTGTATCGTGTTGGCATCTAACTTGATGGCTGCTCTGATACTGGTGACTTGTCTGAAGTCATGATACCATCTGAACAAAGCACATCTTCCTATCTTCACAGATTTTGTAAAGGCTGGATCACAACAAAGCAATATTATTGCCCCATTAAGCATACAAGTCTGGTATATGCATAGCTGTTTTTTTGCTCAACTCCTGACATATGCATGAGCTATTCATCTGCTGGCTGTGCACTGAACTTTCATTATTACAACTCTCTCATCTCTTGCCTGTAGGTTCTATGATTTGGTCTCAATCATCACTTCACTGTACATTTGTCCTCTTGTGCGTTGATACCCTGTCAGTTTTAGGGCCGCCTGCAATCCTAATCAGGCCCAGATTTATGCTAGGGAATACAAATCTGCTAGCAAAGACTTAAGGCAGTCACTAGGATATAGAATTCCTGTAAAAATTAAACTGTTCAAGAAAGTCTTCTAAAAATCCCAGAGAGACCCAGTAGGGGCTATGATTAATAATATACGTCATTGAAGAAGTATGATTAGAAGTTCTGATTTCGTAAGAGAAGTGGGTTTTGGGCCTCCACAAAGCTCCTTGTGTAAAAATAATAAATAATAATAACAAATGATAACAACAATTTGAAAGCTATTGGCCCTGAGTCTATAAAAAGGTTTGTTCTGGGGATGGTGCAATAGAAAGAGTATTTGCCACAAAGGAATGTTATAAAAACAAAACAGACAAAAAAAAAACACACAGAAATAAACAAATGTGGAGTCACTGTCCCTACAAAAAGGTTGGAGTTAAGTAGCGGCTTAAGACTACAGTTTTATCAGAAACTCATAGTTTGTCTTCGTTTGATTAGACACAAGATTTCAATGCAAGACTTGCAAACACTGTATTTATCTATATTCTGTAGATACTTCGTTCAAATCTTCCAAACATCAGTGCACTGCTTATTTAAAATGCGTAACAGTTAGTAGGAAAAGCAAAGACAATAAAGCAGAGAACTGACTTCCAAAACTATCAAGCATTTGTCAATTAAAATATTTACTTTTGACACAAGTCCTAATTAGTTAAAAACATTCAATCCAGCCTTAAAATAGAGGTTCGAGCTACCCAATTTATTCTTGGAACAGTCACTTGCTTGTAGGATTAAGAAGACAATGGCAACCAGAGCAAGCACGAACCCTCTCCCCTCTTATTACAGTTAATCAGCAACATAAATACTATAATGGAGCTGAGCCCCTGCAAACTCACCAGGCTGTGCATAATTTCGACTCCAGCTGGATTCACTGTGAGTGCCTCATCATACAATTGCTTAGCCTCCTCCAAATTGCCTTTCATCTCTGCAAGCCTCCCACGCATGTACAGTACAGCATGAGATGTGGGGAAAAGAGTAGCTGCCTCCTGGATACAAAAGCCGGCTTCTTTGAGATGGTGTTGTTCCATGAAGAGTTCAGCTGAAAAAAAAAGCACGAAAACACCCTACCATTAGCTGAAATAATTCAGGTACCTTTCTTCACACTAATTGCATATCATCTCCCTTAAACATTAAAACACGAGGCCGTGATCCTGCACAGTGCTTACTACTGTGGTTAACGTTTACTACCAGAAGCAAGTCATTGAATGGATATTCTGCTACATTAAAGGCTCTGTACAGACATAGATGGACCTCTTCAGGTGTTGACACAGGATAGCCTTAAGGATATACCCGAGTGCTTCCTCAATCAGGATGTAAACACGTACTCTACTGAGCCCTAAGGAAGCAGGGCTGGTAGCCACTTGGAGCCATTGTACGTGTTTCCAAATGATCTGGGAAAAAAAAGAACAGAATAAGCCATCACTGTCTACCGATTAGTTTAAACATGTCAGAGTAATAGGATACATCTGACCAAGCTGGACATTAAATAACTTCTTTAAGAGAGTATTTCCATATTTTAAAAAATGATTAAAAGTGTTTTTCTTTGCTTACTTGTCTAGTTTATGAGATAGCTGTCTCTTAAGTTTTCGGAGTCTCCATTAAAATCAAAGGCTTATATCACAGAGACTTATTTATATTTTGTATTCACAAATTTATCTCCTCACACATACTCTACAGAAAAAGAAAACAGAGCTCTTGGAAGAGACGCTCAGTCATCTGCTTCCTTCAACTCTCAGCAACTATCCCAGTGGTTTTCTTACAAAGAAAAAAAAAAAAAGTAACAGGCATACTGATGTGCTTGACTGTCAATTTGTTTATCACATCATTTTTCATGCTAAACAAATTTCATAATGCATCTCATTGTTTAACATTTCTCACTATTTATTATGCATTAAATCCTGGGAGAAGGCTTCAGAAGTGATGCTCAATTTTCACTGACACACATAACTGAAAAGGGAAATTGTTGATATATATACACGTATGTATGTATATGTGTATACGTGTATGTAGATAAAATAAATCTCTGCACAGCAGCCAGTGCTTTTAGGTTCTTAACCTGTTTGTGTTCTACACGTTATCACTGCAAAAGCTCAGTGTTTGTCTCCATTTATTTTTATTTAAACTGATGTGGCAATGCAGCAAATATTGACAGTCCAATAGCCCAATTCAAAATGACAAGTTCAGGCTCCGGAGCCAGATAAACAATTCTGAATTTAGACCCAGTCTCGAGCGCCCTGACTTTTAAAGGTAGCGAAATGTTCTCAGGAAGTCTCTGTGAGGGGGGGAAATCAGCCTGAAAAATTAGGCCTCTCGTATAGCTTTGAAACTCTGCCAGCCTCAAAATGCCGGGAGGGCCAGATGACTCCGGGGACTTGGCATGCTGACACGGAGCTTTCTGGGTGAGAGGGGAGCAGGGGAGCATCGCAGCGGCTGTCCTGCCACGCCATGAGAAGGCTCCTCCTTGGCCCATCCGACGTGAGACGGGGCCCACAGACAGCTCTTCTCTGGCACACGAAGGATGACTGTGCACTGACACGGCATCGTGGCCTTCCAGATCTGAAGTGCTCCTTCTGGAAGGAGGGTGAGACATCATCGATAATAAGCTCGGCTATTTCTTAGCCATGCCTGGTTGGTGCTACAGATAAATGTCATTCTCTGAGGCTGCCAACTCGAGCAAAACAGTTCCTCAGTAAGAGCTATACCCTTTAAAAATGACTCACATACATTTCTGTCTGGTTAATCTTTACAAAATCTCAGCGTGCCTCCTTTCCCTCGACTCCAAGAGGGTGCAGCCATCTAATAACAGAAAGCAAGGCCGTGCAACTTGACAAGCTGAGTATGTGCACAGCCTTATTCCAAAGTTTGTGGGAGGACAGCATTTTTCTTCTGCTTCCCAGGGAACAGAGCATTTTTCCTGCCAAGTGCTGCGCAGCAGCTGATGTTGTGCATGTGGTAGCGATGAGGATGGGGATGTGCAAAGTGACGATTCACAGCCTGAGGACGCTTCGGTTTGCAAAGTTAGCACAACCCTAGCAGCACAAAAAGAAGGGGTGAAATCCTGGTGCTATTTGAAGTCAGTAGAAGTTCTGGATGCTGCTGTATTAAAAACTCTAACAGCAACTAACAGCACAACGTGACCTGTTTCATTTCAAAAAAAGCATCAGGAGCAAGGGGGTTTAGATGTGAAATCATGCACAGCCTGTGATTCAATGCATAGAAAATGGAGAGTACTTATTCTTTCTTTCAACGGTGCCTGTAAATCTTCTTCAGTAATAACAATTATTTAGAGGAAGTGCAGCAACACAGAATCTAAATAAGATCTACAAATTGTATTTTATGGTACGGTAATGTAGCATATTAAAGCTCAGTCCATTTCTTTGCAGGCTCAATAGTCAATAAAAAATGATTTAATGGTGTGGGAGGCCTGATTTGCATAAAAAGAGAATGAGAGAGGTGCCTTTGGGTTACAGGAGGGAAGGAGTGCACCCACCCAGCTAAAAATAGACATTTAGGGAAATCATTTAAGCCTGCATTAAAATGGGTTTTCTGTAAACTCATTTTTTACTTCTATTGCATACTCATTTTATTTACAGATGAACAAGATACACTTACGTAACATGGAATAAAAACCAAGCTAGAGGCAGAAATCAAAGCCAAAAACCAAGGATTCATTAAATTTATCATGGTAATACTCCCACCTCCTCAACAGTACTGAAAGTACTGAAATGCCTGCCTCTGCATTACCTGGGTTAGCAGTTTCCGTTGGATTATTTAGGATCTCTCCTGGCATCACCTAATCATGCTGTACAGAAAAACCTGGCCAAATTAGCAGCCCTCACAAGGAAGTTCTGTCACAGAGCCGTGGCACCCAGTGCCACTCCAAAGCAGACAGCAACTCCTCCAGGTGAGTCAGGTATACAGCAGCATCTGTGATTCCCACTCTGTGAAAGGCTTGGTGCTTCAGGAAAACCATTTATGAACCTCCAGCTGTTGGACTACATCGTTCCCAGTGCTGGCATTCTCTGCAGCTTTGAATCCCAAGGCAACGTTTGCAGGCTTCCTTGCCATCTCTTGCTTAACACCATCTTCGTAAAAGCTTAAACGAGTTCCCATTCTGTTTTGAGCTAAGTATTACCAACAGTTCTCTGAATGCTACAGAGCTGAGAGATGATCATCCTGGCTGTACTACTTCCTCTCTTAGCCTCTCTGGAGCAATGCTAGAAACTGAGTGCAGGTGATCAGGGAATATTTGATCATTTTTGCTTACACACATGGGCTAAGACAGATCACACTGCGTGGATGTGCAGACACAGGATGCATCGTGAGCTGTCTCCTTTCATTTTCTACTTGAACCTTGAGTCTACACCCACTGAGACCAAGAGCAGCTATCCAACTGATTCCAAGGTCCAGCCTGGCTTGATTCATTTCTTTCCCAGATACACCTTACGCTTCCATTTGTGCTCTCTCAGTACTGTCCACCCTTCTCAGCTGTTCTTCCAAACAAGAAGAGTCTTCTCTTGTGGCTTCAGCCTCTTTTGTCTTGATTTGCAACTACACTTCCAACTGATGCACCAGTCTTAATGCTGGTCCCAGTCCCTGCGAGCAGCCCACATCTCCACTCAGATGTATAATTTGCTCCTAACATGAGCTTCTAGTTCTTCCAGCTGTTTCTGCTAGCATTTAGACTCATCTACAGTGAAGATCCTTAATCAAGTGAGAATTGCCAGAAGCATATCATCTACTCACTCACCAAAGACCAGTAGCAAATGTACAGAGCAAGAGCACTTCCAGAAGGCTGACAAAAGCTGGGTCTCCTGTAGTCAGGCTCTTTTTTTTTTTTTTTTGGCTCCAGGATAAATTATTTGACAGAGCTCTGTAAAGGAGCCCATCTGAGAATCAACAACAGAGTAATCTAGTCATGTCTGCATCACAACGCTAGTATAAGGAACAGAGTTGTCTGCCATCACCTTGAACGTCGACTATTCTCTTTTTCTTAAGTGTTTCACTGCAGTGTCAAGAGTGATTGCACTTGTCACCACAGAGGCAGCACCAACTGTAATTCTAGCCCAAAAAAAAAAAATGGATTTGAAATGTCTTTCTGCAACGTGAAGCACCCAAGAGTTAAAATCTCATTCCTTGCAAATCGGCGTTATCCAAGACGCGGCACTGAACTCCCACAAGCAGGCTGCTCCACATTACTCTGCTCTGTGTCAGCCACATCACCTGCTCTTGCCCACCCCAGAAATGGGACTGTGTGGGGACACGGCCAGCGCCACGTAGCCAGCTGACCAGCAGGACAGCACACTGGGAGGCAGCCCTTTACACTTGACAAAGGTGAGACTGCCTGAGAGGGTGTCTAGAGAGGTGCTTTCTGCTGCGCAGAGCTCATCTGCTTTCAGAAGCTATTAATACTTGTTACTGCAGCAGCCCTCAGCCAGCTGGAAAGACCCACTCCTCCGAGACAGCTCTCTGATCAGCGAACACAGAGCTATTACCATGACAAAGGGTTCTCCCTCTGTCTTGCCTTTCTGTCACATGACGTTTAGTCACCCTCCCTTATTATGACACAGCCGTGTATGCAGACGTTTGACAACTCGCCGGCAAATGGGATGGAAGATCGTTCAAGCTGTATCCCAACTGTTATCGCTTCATTTGATGCAAACCTTCGGCACAGAAATGAACAGAACCTGCTACGTGTTCCCGTCCACGTGAGCTCAACCACTTACCCTTCTGAATGAGGCAGTAGATGCATTCTTAACGGCTGCCTTTGCGAGCAAACTGGTAGCTAGCTGGAGCCCAGGGACCCGCTTTCAATTTCTGAGCTTCGGGTCTCCCAAAGGCTGAAATGGCAACTGAGCTTCTTTATTTACAAATGCAGCAGTAGAGTGAACATCTCTGGAAGTGACATGGAACTACCACAAGCTATCTATCCTCTATACTAAAACGTGCAGTCAAGAAGTTATCTGAAATACAATAAACCCTGGCACAAGATAGCTGGTTCCTTTATGTGAAGCGGGACCCCGCTCACTGGTGACAAAA